CTGCTATTCTAAAATTTAAGATTCTTTATTTTTTCTTTTTTGGAGACGGAGTCTCGCTCTGTCATCCAGGCTGGAGTGCAGTGGCACAATCTCAACTCACTGCAACCTCCGCCTCCCAGTTTCAAGTGATTCTCCTGCCTCAGGCTCCGGAGTAGCTGGGACTACAGGTGCCCGCCACCATGCCTGGCTAATTTTTTGTATTTTTAGTAGAGACGAGGTTTCACCATGTTAGCCAGGATGGTCTCGATCTCCCGAGCTAGTGATCCGCCCGCCTCAGCCTCCCAAAGTGCTGGGATTACAGGCGTGAGCCACCACGCCCGGCCCAAATTTAAGATTCTTAATTCTTGTCCAGGATCGTGCCCACCATGTCAGGATGGGCATCACAGTCAGAAAAGTTATATATTGCAGAAATGGTTTTTTATAAGGAAACCTGCCATCTGGTTTTGAAAGCTCCGCAAATATGAATATAAAAAATAATACAAAGGAAAGTCTAGGACCATATTTTCAGAGAGATATATATCCTGAAACACCTTGGAAAGCTTACATAATCTATACAGAGGCTAGTACATGGCTTATTTTTTAAAAATATCTGCTGGTGCAGATATGAAAGCCACTATCAGCACCAGTAAGGCTGTGGTGCCACAGTCTGGTGGTACACTGCTCCTTCTCGCTTCCTTAGACGTGATAAAGGCAAATCAACCACAACCGTTATTCTTTGATCGTATTACTCTTTCCTCATGTGCTCCCTGCTTTTACTGTCTTGTCTTAACTTTCCTTCCCTTCCCTCCTCCTTCCCTTTGTTCATATTTACGCATTTATTTGATATTTTCTACTTACAAGGCATCTTTCACGTTATCTTGTTTTATTCTCAAGTGAAGTAAGTATCATCGCAACTTTTAAAAGTTAGAAAACTGAGATCTGAAGTGCTGCGTGACCTGTTCAGGACTTCAGAGTAAGGGGATGAACAAGAGCTTCATTTTAAATTTTCTGATTCTACACTACCATTTCTCCACGGTCATAAGAGTCTGCTGTCAATCATTTTTCTTCCCCTTGCCTCTTCTTTCCTTCTTTCCATAGACTGTGCTGCATCATGCTTGCTCTCCACGAGTACTTGTGTCACCTACTTTGTCATTTTTCACCCCATTCGTCTGCCCCTCCCCTTGCTTATCCCTTCCCAAGGCTAATTCCCACTTCTCCTCTAGGTGTCAGTATGCATGTGCCTCACCAGGAGCCTTCCAGGAGCACAGGCTGGGTTCAGGAGGAGGCGCCTTGCCTGTGGCACCAACAGCAAATCATTTGATCATAGAAATGTGTAGGATGACATAAATAAGGAGGGTGCTAAAAAAATTCTCTCCATAGTTTGACAACAGAAAAATTCAGATGAGCCTGAATCTTTCTGTAAAGACAGAACACTATCTCCTTAAAATACCAGAATCCCTTCTACCTTACCCTGCCTGTAAAATGGCCTGAACAGCACAACCCATCTCCCTGTATTTGTGTTAAATAGATTATATAACTGTTTAAAATATTACAATTCCTTTCTTTTATCATGAAAGCAAAGAGATGCTGGCTATCATAGGTTTTTCACATCAGCAATTTCTATTTGAAACCTATTTCACTATTATGCCATTTTAATGAAATATATCAAACCTAGAGGCCGGAAGAGAAAATAGCAACCACACATATACTCATTATCCAGTTTTATCAAACTATAACATTTTGTCATATTTAACTTTAGTTTTTAAAAAGTAAAACATTATAAATACATTTGAAACATGGTTTCCACCCCTCCCTAATGCCATTTCCCACTTCCTAGAAAAACATTACCTTGAAGTTGATGTACACTTTTTGAAAATATATCTATATAAAAAATATACGGGATTAGCTAGTGGTTTCTTATATATTACATGAACTATGCATTTGGCAATATGGCAGTCAAGATATTCTAACAAACCTTGCTAAACAGAGCAGGAGAGGCTTAATAAATTACAACAAGATTCTCTTTAAATACATATTTGAGTTCAGGCATAAGTAGGGGAAATCTGGAGTATGAAAAAATAGAGGTGAATCAAGAATAGTGAGTACTAAAGTCCCAGTTGGAAGAATGGTGACCATGAATCCTAACTAAAGCCAGAACTTTGTGCTACACTCTATTTCTCTACATCTTTGTCAACAATTCAAAATGTTAGATTGAAAAAATTACTTCCCATTTGAAAATGCTCCTGGTGGTTTTCTTTTGTTTTGCCCTGAATACTAATAAAGATAAGCATCTTTTCATATATTTATTGGTCATTCTATATATATCATTTGCCACCTTCATGTTCACCCATTTTTCTCTTAAGTTGCAATTTCTGTTTGCTTATATGGAGGAGTCCTTTATAAATGCCAAATGTGTATTTGACATACCATGGGACTCCTGTTAGAATGGCTACAATTAAAATGACTACCCTTATCAAGTGTTGCTGAAGATGTACAGCAACTGGAATTTTCATAGACCACTGGTGGGAATTGAGATGGTGCAACCACTTCAGGAAATAGTTTAGCAGTTTTGCTGTTTTTTTTAAGTTAAACATACACCCACTATTTGATCTAGTCATTCCCTCTTGGGTATTTACTCAAGAGAAGTAAAAACTTAGGACCCAGAAAGAATCATCCATGAATGTTCAGCGATGCTTTACTGGTAAGAGCAAAAAACTGGAAACTACCCAGATATCTATCAATGAGTGGATGCATAAACAAATCACGGAATTGAATACTTTATAAATGCTAAATATGTATTTGACATACCACGGGACTCCTGTTAGAATGGCTACAATGAAAATGACTAACCCTATCAAGTGTTGCTGAAGATGTACAGCAACTGGAATTTTCATAGACCACTGGTGGGAATTGAGATGGTGCAACCACTTCAGAAAATAGCTTAGCAGTTTTTTTGTGTTTTTTTTTTTCAAGTTAAACATATACCTACGTTTATGCGGAGTGAAAACTTAGGACCCAGACAGACTCATCCATGAATGATCACAGCTGCTTTGCTGATAACAGCAAAAAAACTAGAAACTACCCAGATACCTACCAATGAATGTATGGATAAACAAATCGTGGAATGGAATACTGATTAACAATAAAAAGGAATCAACTACTGATATACAGTATGACATGGATGAATTTCAACATAATTATTTTAAGTAAAACAAGCCAGACAAAAAAGAGCACATATTCTAAGGTTCCATTTATATAAACCTAAAAAATGCAAACTAATTAATGGCACCAGAAAGCAGATCACATGTGGCCTGTGGTGAGATGTGGTAAGCGCAGAAGGGAAGGACTGCCAATGAGCAGGAGGAAACTGCTGGGGACAATGAAGGTGTTCATCTATTGATTCTGCTGGTAGCTTCATGGCATGAACTTGCAAGACGTCAAAACTTGTAAGACTGTGCAAGTACGTTCATGTTCAGTTCATTGTATGTCAACTTATCAAAATGTATACTTTAGATATGTATAGCTTACTTTATGTTAATTATACCTCAACAAAACTGATTTTTAAAAAAGCTCACGAGAATAAGACAGTAAAGGAGAATCCCAACCACAGTAGGTATCTGTCTTCTCAGATAAGAAATATAAGTATTTCTTAAAGATAGTCACAATTAAGAAAATCCACCAACCTTCTCTTTATATCGTGCTTTAAAAAAACAAAATACATCTCAATTAAGTTAAAAATAGTTGGAGTGGGAAGGTGGCATTACTGAAAACAAGTATTTTTTGAAAAATAAAGGCAAGTGACTAAGTGAGGTCTACATTGTAACAATATCGTTCCTCCTGCAGGAAATAATATACTGTTAGTATTTTTGCTGTTGATAGTGGTAATCAGTATGGCAATATGTAAAGTTTTCCACTGGTTCATTCACATGGTTAAGAACCTAGCTCCACTGGGCCGGCGTGGTGGCTCACGCCTGTAATCCCAGCACTTTGGGAGGCCGACGTGGGCAGACCATGAGGTCAGGAGATCAAGACCATCCTGGCTAACACGGTGAAACCCCATCTCTATTAAAAATACAAAAATTAGCCAGGCGTGGTAGCGGGCGCCTGTAGTCCCAGCTACTCAGGCTGAGGCAGGAGACTGGCGTGAACGCAGGAAGCAGAGCTTGCAGTGAGCCGAGATCATGCCACTGCACTCCAGCCTGGGTGACAGAGCGAGACTCCGTCTCAAAAAACAAAAAAAACCTTGCTCCACTGATTACATCCTCATGTAATAACATAATAATATACTCCTAATCAGCCTGTATATTTTCACTCCATTGATGACATTGATCTCAATCCATTATCATTCTTAGCAAAGGTTATAAGCATTTTTCTTTCTCTAGCTAAAAGTTTCTGAGAGTCAATCTGAAGCCACAAGTGAAACATTTCATACCTGATCTCACTACAGTTTTCAGTCAAATCACAGTCAAAACTTTGTTTCATGCATGAAATTATTTAAAATATTGTATCAAATTACCTTCAGGCTATGTGCATAAAGTGTATATGAAATACAAATGAATTTCGTGTTCAGACTTAGCTCCCATCCCCAAGACATCTCATTATGTATACGCAAGAATTTCAGGCCAAGCGCAGTGGCTCACGCCTGTAATCCCAACACTGTGGGAGGCTGAGGTGGGCGGATGATGAGGCCAGGAGTTTGAGACCAGCTTGGCCAACATGGTAAAACCCTGTCTCTACTAAAAATACAAAAATTAGCCAAGTGTGGTGATGGGCGTAATCCCAGCTACTCAGAGGCTGAGACAGGAGAATTCCTTGAACCCGGGAGGTGGAGGTTGCAGTGAGCTGAGATTGCACCACTGCACTCCAGCCTGGGCGACAGAGCAAGACTCTGTCTTGGGGAAAAAAAAAAAAGAATTTCAAAATCTGAAAAAACAAAACAAAACAAAACAAAAACAAATCCAAAACACTTCTGTCCCAAGGATTTCAGATAAAAGACACCCAACCTGCGTTTGAGGACTTACCGTCTCCAAAAAGATGTGCCACGAGCCTGGTAAGCGTCTGCTTAAGATCAAACTCTACAAGCTTCACGGCCTCCATGGTGTGTGTCTCTTGTTTATGCACAGAGCGAGAACTCTGTTCAAAGAGCTGCAGGTTTTCTCCATCCTTTATACCAGCAAATAACTGTAAACCAACAGGAAAGGATAAATAAAGAAAATATCCTGGCCCATCTGTATCAGATAACTTTAAAATTCTGCTAAGAATCTTTGACTTTAAAAAGTTATAATGTGGGTATAAGACTCATTGTGTCTTGTCAATAAATGTAATGAAATTAACATTCACTTGGTACAGCTCTGAAGAAAGCACTACACTACATGGTATGGAGGGTCTTTAAAGAATTAAGACATTCTTCTGATCTTTGCTAATCTGTTTTTCATTTGCATGAACTTATAGTCATTTCCTAGCAAGAGACATTATCCTCAATTCTAGTGGAAATACCAGTGAATCCCTTTCATACTCTAAAATTACATCCCTGACCATCCCACAGTGTCGAGGAAATAAATCCTGTAAGGTCCATGAAGGTAGAAAGCAAGCTGGAATTTGCTAGCCCTGTATCTCCAAAGCTCAACGCAGAGCCTGAAACATGTTTCTGCTACTTACTATCCATGTAAACTTAGGCAAGTGATATGGTAGCCAAGCCTCAGGGAATCATCTACAAAGTGGGAATAATAATAGTAAATTAGTAGATTTTATTACAAACAAAATAATATATAAAAAATACAGAGTACCTGCTGCATTCCAATGGCTAAATAAGTTTTCCTCATTATTGTCATCATGATTATTAACCACAGTTATCATCAGTCATAAGTTGCTTTACCACTGAAATAAACTAACTTTCTGGTCAGTGACATAGCAGGTCTTTACTTGGTAGAAGATTGGCTCAAAACAGATAACTGAGCAAATGAATGTACCATTCTTCCCACTCAGAGTTGCATAATCAAACATAAAAAATATTTTCATAAAAGAATGAATCAGCTGCCATTTCTAGTAATATTGGTTTGGATAATTAGAACCAAACTTTCCGATAAATGCTACTGAAAAAATACAGAAATTCTTAAAAACATTAAAGAAGTAAAAACAAGATAGAGCGGAGTGACTGAACTCTATAGGAAGCATGAAGCCAGGGGTAAAAAATTTAAAAATAAATAAATAAAAAATAAAGTAAACACAAAGCCAGAGAGAAGCGTTGAGAATATCTGCCTATCTAACCTATCAACTAAAAACCTGAACGTGGGGTATATAACAACTTACCATGGAAGTGAGACAAAAGGGAAAGCTTTGCTGTGGAACCAAGCTGGGGTGCTGGAGTCCCTAAAAGACTCATCCCCCTGATGAGGATGAGCACAAAAGTAAACCAAGTCCTTGTGCAGACTTGAAGTCAGATGTCACATTTTCTGCACAATAGAGAGAGCCTTGGGCTAAGAAGATGAACTAAGGCAATCCCAGACACACTTCCTCTAACGCGCCAGCAAAATAAGACAAAACCATTTTCAGAAAAATATTCTAATCTCCTAGGCCTCAAATTATTCTTGTGAGGACAAAAGACAATGACAGTTGTCAATGCTTCCTCTAAAAATAATTTAGAGCAACAAGAAGAACAAATAAAACTACTGAACACATGCCGTTGGCAGACAGGAAGGAAGGACGGAAGGAAGGAAGGAAGGAAGGAAGGAAGGAAGGAAGGAAGGAAGGAAGGAAGGAAGGCCAGCTAAAACCTAGGGACAGAACTGTTACACTCCTACCCACTTTAAAGTAAGCAAGAGCAAGCTGGAAAAAATAAGAGAAAGAGAGGAGAATGAGTGAGGTGCTAAGGTTGACCTTAAAAACCCAGAAAGTGTAAGTTACACTAAGTGTGAAAATCCTTAAAAAGTGTCCCAGTAGGCCTGAGCAGGGACTACAGAAAAGTGGTATAAAAGCATGCCCAATATGAAGTGACAGGCCTCCAAAAGCATAGTTACAATGGAAGAGAAAGGAGTTAATATAAAGTGAAAGACAACCTGTTCAATCGAGAGGAACATAAAAAAGACGCAAAAAGGAAAATTCAAGGTTGCCAAAGATAAAGCACAACTAAAACATTAGAGGATTTACAAAGCCATTCTCTAATCCATACCAAAAATAAATAAATGAACCACTAAAGTGTGCATTGCTACACTAACAGAAGACGGCACCAGAGACTAAGGAAGTCTTTTTTTTTTTTTTTTTTTTTAAATACTTTAAGTTCTAGGGTACATGAGCATAACGTGCAGGTTTGTTACATATGTATACATATGCCATGTTGGTGTCCTGCACCTGCTAACTCGTCATTTACATTAGGTATATCTCCTAATGCTATTCCTCCTCCCTCCCCCACCACACAATAGGCCCCAGTGTATGATGTTCCCCACTCTGTGTCCAAGTGATCTCATTGTTCAGTTCCTACCTATGAGTGAGAACATGTGGTGTTTGGTTTTCTGTCCTTGGGACAGTTTGCTGAGAATGATGGTTTCCAGCTTCATCCATGTTCCTACAAAGGACATGCACTCATCCTTCTTTATGGCTGCATAGTATTCCATGGTGTATATATGCCACATTTTCTTAATCCAGTCTATCATTGATGGACATTTGGATTGGTTCCAAGTCTTTGCTATTGTGAATAGTGTTGGCAATGAACATATGTGTGCATGTGTCTTTAGAGCAGCATGATTTATAATCCTTTGGGTATATGCCCAGTAATGGGATGGCTAGGTCAAATGGTATATCTAGTTCTAGATCCTTGAGGAATCACCACACTGTCTTCCATAATGGTTGAACTAGTTTATATTCTCACCAACAGTGTAAAAGTGTTTCTATTTCTCCACATCCTCTCCAGCACCTGTTGTTTCCTGACTTTTTAATGATCGCCATTCTAACTGGTGTGAGATGGTATCTCATTGTGGTTTTGATTTGCATTTCTCTGATGGCCAGTGATGATGAGCATTTTTTCATGTGTCTGTTGGCTGCATAAATGTCTTCTTTTGAGAAGTGTCTGTTCATATCCTTTGCCCATTTTTTGATGAGGTTGTTTGATTTTTTTCTTGTAAATTTGTTTAAGTTCTTTGTAGATTCTGGATATTAGCCCTTTGTCAGAAGGGTAGATTGCAAAAATTTTCTCCCATTCTGTAGGTTGCTTGTTCACTCTGATGGTAGTTTCTTTTGCTGTGCAGAAGTTCTTTAGCTTAATTAGATCCCATTTGTAAATTTTGGCTTTTGTTACCATTGCTTTTGGTGTTTTAGTCATGAAGTCCTTGCCCATGCCTATGGCCTGAATGGTACTGCCTATAAATCTTTTACACAACCAAAAAGGAACAACAAATAAATTCAATAAAAATATAGAAAATTAGTACTCAAAAATCAGAAAGTCAATTCAAAGGAGCTCAACTAATGAAAATCTAACTTTTCTCCCACCCCCCCAAAAAAACCAAAGAGCACTAAAAAGAAACATAAACTAACACTTAAAAACTAAGTTACATATGTTCAATCAAGCATATAAGGATATAAATTGCTTTAGTCAGAAACTCAAAAATTAAGGACAAAAAGAGAGAAAAAAATGAAAAGATAACTGATTTAACTCAGAAAAATAAATAAATAAATAAATAAAATCATCTCAGAAACAAAGTCTAAATTCCAAAGCATTCAAGGGACAATGGACTCAATCAAGATTTAATAAGGGGGCACTGAAGACAAGGAGAAAAACAACCAGAAGGAGGATGGTAAAATAAAAAAAGAAGAATCAGAGAGAAAGTGGTAGAAATGGAACACAGGCAAAGAAGGAATTACATTTATATAATTGGAGTCCGTTAAAGAGGGAAGAAAAACCAATGCAGCAGAACTAATACCAGATAAAATAGGTACCTGTGAAAAAGAACCTGGAAGGATCAAATATAGGACACATCCACAAACAATGGGGAAAATCATCAAGACCTCTAGGCAAGAAGATCAACTAAAGTAGAGGGGTAAAGCAATCAGAATGGCATCAGATTCTTCAAAAACAACACAGAAACAAGACAACAATGAAGCTACATTTTCAAACAACTCAGTTTTTAAAAATGTGGACCAAGAAGTTTATATCCATCAATACTGTCCTTAAAGCACCAAGTCTACAGAAAACACTTGAAACACACAAGAGCATAACGAATGTCACATTAATGAGCTCTTTCTAAAGGATTTACCAAAGCATGAGCCTTGTTCAAGTAATAAATAACTAGGAAAATTTAAGCACAAAACAAATCGAGAACATGTTAATACATAAACATTGTAGATTTCAGACTAAAAGCTGGGGATTACATTGATAGACTATTATCCAATTGTTGTACGTTCTGACAAAGTAGAAATAACGCAGCTAAAAAATGAAAGAAAGAAGCAAAGAGGAAAGTAGAATACATTAATTATTGCATAGGCAATAGTTAAAGAATACTTTTACGACAAACTAGACAGAACAAAGTTAAATATGAGGAATGAGGGAATTTAAAAGTTTTAAGAATAAAAGCAACCATTAAAACAAAAATATAACCTTTCTAAAGAGCAATAAAAATTTCAATTCAAAAGCATAATAAAACATATTTTGTAGAGAAATAAAATATAACATGTTATGACATACATAACACCACAATATATGATAGAGTTGAGATCAAATATATCAATAACTCAGTAAATCTGAAAGTCTTATCAATAAATGTGAACACGTTTAATTTACCTCTTAAAAAAAATAAATCTGGCCACAAAGCATTACTCAACTATACAAAAGATACACCTAAAACACTGTTAAAAACAAATGGATGGACAGAATAAAACAGGCAAATGGATACAATAAAAAAGCAAGCATAGCATTCTTAAAATCAGAAAAAGTAGAATTCAAGCAAAAAAGCACTGAGCAAGACAAAGAAGATCTTGTATTAATGCTAAGTTTCAAATCACAATGAAGGTATAATACTTATGAATAGCTATACATCAATAAGACAATAATTACCTTTGTGTAGAAAGAACCATAGGGGATGCAAAAGACACACATAGAAACACATTAATATTAATAATAGGAAACTTTAATACACCATTCTTAGTATAAGATCAAATGTGCAAAATTAACAACATAAAAGACCTAAAAACAT